GAGAAAGAGACAAACAAAAAATTGTCAGAATTGATACAAACTCTTTGATAAATATTAAATGAAAAACACACATATCCATATATGTCCAAATATATAGATCAATACAAATTATACTTTTAAGCTAATTAATGCACATTAATCTTGATTATAAACCATATATCGACTTTGTAATCTCGATTTGAAGCAATAGAATTATTGTCGGAAAAAACAAAACAAAAATGATATACCAAAAAAATGTAATAAACGAGAAAATACAACTTTCTCATTTTTATGAAATAAGAAAAAGAAAAAAAAAGGAAATATATTTTTGTCAACAGAAAAAAGAAAAAAAGAAAAAAAAGAAGGATAAAATTTAGCATAAAAAAAAAAACGAGAAAATAGTCGTAATTACTTACGAAAACGTAAAACTCGTAGAGAAATCTCAAATCTTCATAAAACTCGTTTTGCTCAGTGCTGTTGTCTTTCTGTCTGAAATTCTTGTATAGTACTTTTGTCTTCAGCTCTAAGGAGGAAGCTTGTGCGTGTAGACTTGTTCGTCTTCTCCGAAATTCGGTAATCATCTTTCTCTCCTTCTTGAATTTCGTTTTTGGGGATTATCGTCAAGTGAATGTCAAATAATCTGAGAATTAAGTTAGGATCGAGTTTTTCTACTCCATTTCTTCCAATTTTATCGTCTAGTTGCTAGATCTGCAGGTGCTGTTTGTTGTTTTTGTTCTTGTCTGGACGAGTTCGAGTTCAATTCCTCGAAATTTTATGTATATGTGATTGATTTAGGATGTGATTTCTCGATGAAGATGAAGGAATTTGTTTTGGGATTGTTCTTTTGCCGTTTTTGTTGAGTTGATGAAGAGGTCGTGAGACCAAATTTACTTGAATCCTCAAATTCCAGACGTTGTTGTTCGGACCGGAGGAGAAGTGTAAGCTTTATATCATCAGTTTGATGTTCAGTTTTTCCTTGAGGAATGGATTAGATTTATGTTAAAAGACTTTTTGATGAGCGAGCTTATGGCTTGTTCAAGGAGTCAATCATTTTATATGTTTGACATGACTTTCA